AGTTACTCTTTTTTAAAATACTATATTAGGGTGCCTGGGTGGCTCAGTTGGTTAAGCATCCGACTCTTGATTTTGGCTGAAGTCATGATCTTACGGTTCAAGAGACTGAGCCCCCCATTGGGCTCTGTATTGACAGTGTGGAGCCTGCTTGGGATTCTCTCTCTCCCTCTCTCCCTCTGCCCCCCATCCCCCCCCCCCAGCTCGTGCTGTGTCTGTCTCTCTCAAAATAAATAAACGTTAAAAAAAAAATAAAGACTTTCAGTGTGATTTAATAAATACCAAGTCGGGGCGCCTGGGTGGCTCAGTCGGTTGGGCGTCCGACTTCAGCTCAGGTCACGATCTCGCGGTCTGTGAGTTCGAGCCCCGCGTCGGGCTCTGGCCTGATGGCTCAGAGCCTGGAGCCTGCTTCTGACTCTGTGTCTCCCTCTCTCTCTGCCCCTGCCCCGTTCATGCTCTGTCTCTCTCTGTCTCAAAAATAAATAAAACGTTAAAAAAAAAATAAAAAAAAAATACCAAGTCAGTGATATCTTTGTGTCCGAGTTTGGTTCTTCTGTACAAGCCATGGAGAGCTGGTCAAGCTGGCTCAAGTAGAGGGACATTCTTTGTAAAGACACACTGGGCAGTTAAGAGGAATGCTAGCAGAGTAGGGCCAAGAACCTGACCACAGCGCTGTCAAAACTTGTTTCTTTCTTAGGGCTTTTATTCCAGACTGTGTGGTCTCCCGTGATTATTTGCTTCATTCCATTCTTTGAGGTATAATGTTCAATAACACCTGCTTGAAAAATGGATTAATTGTAATTGATTAAATATTTGGATCACGAACTGTTTACATTTGGATGTCTGTGCCTGAGTTTGTTCTTTTTTCCCCCCTTTGACTACAATGTTGGTTGGCAATGTTGGTTGGCAAACATCTGAATAGTGAGGTAGGAGGAGAATCAGGAGACCATAGTGGCATGGGAAGTTCAGGAATGAAGGAATTTTATAAAGTGGTTTTACTGAGTGTTTTAAGAAATGAGAACTGAAAGAACATGAGGTTGAGCCAGCGATGATGTTGTTTTTTTTGTTTTTTTGTTTCCCTTTTGGAAGTTTCTGAATGGATGAGGATGGAGAGTGAGTGTTGAAGTTTCTTTGAATTGATGATTTAGCTGGGAATTGAGACAGAGAGATGGATGTACTTTGAGATGCTAAGTTTTAGAAAGTAATTTAGATGTTTGCATGATCTAGGTACTTTTAATACGTTGATTATGGAAATGCTGAACTGGAGAGACACCCACCCCACCCTCCCAACAAGGAATGGCCAAAATCTTAACCCTGGGGGTGGGGGGGGCGGTGGGGAAAGAAGGGATGAATGGGTGAAGGAGACATTTCAGGTACTTGAAACAGAATAACCTGTGAGGTGGGTACAGTTGAATAAGTGCCTCCTAAGTATTGGCCATTTTGTCTCATTTAACTATTACAACAAACTTGTAAAAGAGTTGGTGTTACCTCAGTTTTACAGATGAGGCAGTAGTGACGTGTATCATTCATTGATGATTCTGATAAGTGTATGGACCGTTGGGTATGGTAAGTAGGGTTTCTCAAGGGGTGATGGAAAGGGCAGGCACCCTTTCCATGTGATTATCTTAAAGAGAATTTGATTATGTTAAAAGATTTGTAAAGTGATACTTTTGCTTAATTTTTAATTTTCCAAGTGTGATCTGTAATTCTGGGTCTATTTGTTTTTATTTTATAACTTCCGTGTGGTAAAACATGCAACTTAGTTTGCCAAATTAGGCAACAGGATCTAGTGAGGACAGGATCCCTGCTAGAAGGAGAGATAGCTGTTGAGTTTACGGAAGAAAGTTCTGGGAACTGGGAAATGGAAGGGAAACTCAGAAGCATAGGACCTGTGTATGGATGGTATTTGTGGTGGGATGAAGAGAGGAACATAGACGTAGGTCAGGCACTAAAGCACTTCTCTTGCTCGCGTCTTCAGTAAAGGGACTGGCAGATGCCTTCATGGGGAGGGGCAGTGGTAGAGCAAGTCCTGGATGGTTATGAGAAAGTTCCGTGTTACTGGCAAGTAGCCCAAAGACGGAAAACAGGAAATAGATTTGTGAAACCAAAGCAGATAGGTAAGAGCAGTTAGTGAAAGGAAGGACGTCTTCTAGACGTTTAGCAAAAATGGAGAAGAAATTAGTAAGTCGTGCTAGAAATTAACACTCACCCGGCACTCAAACCTAGAGAAAGCAGTAGAGCACCAGGACTGGACAAGACTGTTCTGTCCTGATGGGAGAATTTACTCTGATTATAATTTGCAGCCAGCTCTTCTCTTTTATGATAGAAGGAGCTTCTTTGTTACCTGCCTAAAATATTTCTTCATTCTTTGATTTCTCTTGATTCCCGAGCATCTTCTTCTGATCATTAGTTTTGTTTCCTAGGAAGAATTTGTGTGGAGAGTCTGCCTGGTGTCCATGACCATACCAGGTATAGCTTCTACTATAAACAGTACGTTCCTGACTAGTTAAAAACGTTTTTTTGTGAGAATGATTTGATTTGTCTGGTCTAGTCACCTGTGGGCAAATGGTTTATAATGGAGTTTCTGGACTAGCATGGCAAACTTTGGAAAGTGAGGCTCCTTCTCACCTGTGTGAGGAGAACGACCAACAAGAATTAGGAGGGTAGTGCGCAGAGGTAGGAGGAAGAGTGGTTCATCCTCTGGGTCGGGGGGGAGGGGAACAGAGGGAGACACCCGGAAAGAGGGAGGGCTGGAGGAGGTGAAGAGGGAACTGAAGAGAGGGAGAGAGAAGACCTGAGAGAGCTAGCAAATAAGAACAGAGAGAGAGGGAAAGAGGGAAGGGGGGGGGAGGGGAGAGAGAGAGAGAGAGAGAGAGAGAATGAATGAATGAGTGAGTGAGTGAGTGAGGGATGGATGGGAAGATAGATCGTATAGAAGGGAATGGAAATGGCTCCAAGGGCAGGGTGGGCTGGCTTTGAAGGTGCGGGGGAGGAGACAGTGGAAAGCAAAGGCAAACACGCCAAGAAAGCACACTCCTCAAAGCCCAGGCAGAAACAGAAGGCACTGTTATCTGAGGGGGCGAAACTTCCTGTGGCTGCCTTGGAGGCAGCGTGGTCACATAGGAAGGACGTTGCATTTTGAGTTGGAAGCCCCGGATTCAAATCCTGGCAGTGCCATTTAAGGGCTCTGCCCTCTTAACAACAGTTGGGAAGGGCATTTCTCAGAGGTTCGGTGTTCTCATCTTTTAAATGGAAACAATCGCTGTGACTTTGTTGTGACGATGGCATAAATATGTGTACTGCATGTTCTGTACCTTGCCTTACTACTCTCTTTATATTTCCCTCCTTGGGAAATATAAATAGGATTTCCAACATTCTTGGTTAAAACTATTTGTAGATTGGATTTTCAAGAAATGCCTAGCTCTAGTCAAATGTATGATTGGATTCCACAGAAAGAGCTAGATATAGAGCTTTATGCATTTGATTTACATGCTTTGTAAATGTTCACTCTGGCCTGAAGGTTCAAAATGATTTCATCTGACATTTGTAGTTTTCCAGTTAGCATCTTGTCCTCATTCTCTCCTCCCCCCACGGTCCGGCCTTTATCTTTACTCCCTATAGCTTAGAAGCTTACTCAGTGTGTTTACCTAAATAATGGAAACACTTTGTAATGTGTTCACAGCTTGTTTCCAGGCCCTTTGAAAGTATTTTAACCACAGTCAAAAGCTTGGTCTCTGTCTGTGTCTCTTTGTTCTCATTGGGCTGAATTTTAGCTTCATTTTGAATTTTATAAATTTCCATTTTTAGCAGGCATCCCAAAGCTGCTTTGTCTTAGTGACACGTTGTCATTTTGTAGCGTATATCAGCTCTGGGTTTTGAAGGTATGTGACTCCGAACGGCGGTGTAGCTATATTTTTATGTGGTGTCGGTTCAGTCAAGTTAAGATTGCTGGGTGATAAACAGGCAGCCCTGTTAATAAAATCCTTGGGTTGGTTCTCCTAGCTGTATTCTGGCCCGTGTTCTCCGTACTCTTCCCTCTGCCTGCCTGACCTCAGCCTGACCTTTGTGTGTACCCACTGCTGGCGATTGTACACCTACATTGGGAGGTAGTGATGGTCAGATGAGGGGTTTGTGAGAGTCCTGCTTCAGGCCCTCTGCTGTCTTTCTCCAGCGGTCGAAGAGCCTTCCTTGTGAATAAACAAGGGACGGTCCTCTCGCCTCAGGCAGCAGAGATGGCTTGCTGCTCATAACTGAGAGGACCTACAGGATATTAGACAACACAAGGTTTTTTGGGTTACTGTTTCGAATAAACGATCGCACCCTTCTTCCTTGATCTTAACCTTATCTTGTAGAGATGACCTTAGATAGGAGTTCATTGAAGCCTGAAAAGATTGTTCCGATGTGGGCAGTAGTTTAATGATAGGTGAGGTTTGAAGGGATTCTTGTGATGAGTGCTGGTTTTTCCTCCTGGAGTTGAGATCCCAAGAGCCCCTCTGCAGAGATCTTCCAACATGGAGAAATGTTCGGACACCCCACTATACAGTTTGCAGTGCCTTTCCCTGAGGTTTATCCAAGAAATAACTGGGTTGGGTCAAATGAGTCCCCTTGTTTCTACTTGCTTGTCACAGTTGGGGGCAAGCACTGTGGCTTTTGAGTCCAGAGCCATGTTCAGGTCACATAATCATAGGTCATTGCCCTTCAGCATGTTGGTCTTATACATTTAAAATATATGAAAAATAGCTAACATAATGCTCATTTGATGGAATATGCTTTTTCTGGATTATGTATTTTTCATGTTGTGGAAAAAAAAGGAATGGGAGGGGAGAAAACAGGGGTCATTGGCTCTGAACCCTGCTGATTGAAGGTAAGTGAATGTTTAATTTCAGTCACTTGCTTCTTGTTATGTCTTTGTCAGTATCTGAAGGTAAACCGTTGTGTTTAATGTGAGCGTACAATTCAAGATGCTAACTCGAAACTTTTTCCTTCTCTATTTTGAACGATAGGTGCGTTCTATGGATGAACTGAATCATGATTTTCAAGCACTTGCTCTGGAGGGAAGAGCGATGGGAGAGGTAAGTGAACTGGTGTGTCAGAAAAGTGGGCCTGTTTTTAAGGGAAGTTTGGAGCTGTCTTTCATCAAATGTGTCCGAATCTAGTCTCCAGAAGTATGTGCTTGCTTTTCCTTGTTGCCATCCTCATGATAGGAATGGGATATTGCTGAATTTTGCCAAAATGATTTCATTATAAGAAGAACGTTAGCCTTAGCCTAATGTCTTAAAAATAAAACAAAGCAGCCAAAACATGAGCACAAATTATTGATGGTTATATTAGCCAGTCAGTTGTAAGTCGAGGCTTTAAAGTTTCACAAGATAATTTTATATCATCACATATCCTTACTTTTGCCTCATTTTCCACTTGCTAGGTTCTTTTTGCAGCGGAAGGGGGTCTTAGACTGGCTGCTGATCAGAACATGTTGATAACCTGTTTTTAGAGTAGGTTGAGGAGGTTGTTTGGAGCTCCATTGTGGAGAGGAAGTTGTTAGATTTCTGGTGAAATGATTCCAGAGGGTAGAGGTGTCAGTCAGAATATACAGAATTCAGGAACAAGAAGTTTGGTTTGTTTATAATGTTTAAAATTTGCAAAAACAAATTCCTGTCATCTGCACATTGATAGGGAGGGTTGCCGTAATTCTAGAAGAAATGGGAGTATAAAGCACAGCTGACTTCTGGCCATTCTTGTGGTTGACAGTTAGAATGTATTGGTGATAAGGTAGAACATATAGTTTGGATTAAGAGCCAAAGGTGTAACAGGTTCTCAAGCTGGGGGCATTTGCTTGTGGTTCTCTTGTTCTGGAGCTTAACCTTAGGTTTTTTCCTTCTGTTTTATTTTTTGCATATCTAATATTTAAAAGCTCCCACATCTGTTTTAATGTTTTAAAGGAGGGAAAATAGCTGTATTCTGGATTCTCTTTTATATCATTCATTAAACACACTTGTTCTTTGATTTAGCAAATAATCCTTTGATCCAGGCACTGTGCTGGGTTCTGAGGGTTCAGGATTAAGGTAATTCTTCTCCTGATGTATAGCAAATATTCATTGACTGCCGTTGTGGTTAGGCATTAGTTAAACTCTTCTGGTGTTTTGGTTCTGAGGGTCTTGCTTCCTGTGTTTTGAGATTTCGTTTCCAACTTTTCCTTGTCATCCTGTGATCAGAGTTCCAGTGTCCTATCATCTTGGGTTCATGGGTTTTGGGCCTGTTCATGGGTTTTTCTCCTAGAGCTTTAAGAGAAGTTAGATAGGTGGCATTATGTCTCCCGTGCCTGCCTAATATTAAAACAGTGCACATTAATAAATCCTCTATGGTTAATGGGGAAGAGATTTTTCTCAGCTTTTGGAGCAAAATTTGAACAGAAAGTTAAACAGATGAATCAGATATTAAGTGTAGATGGGAAAACCGTGTTTCTCTTGTTCCCCACTCCTGTGATTTTAGCCTGGTCCACTCTACCAGACATCAGTGCCAGTTCTTAAAGTTAATTATTCAAAATAAAATAATGCCTTTTGCTGTTGTGTACACTATATAATCTCTAAAGGCTTAAAGTCTGTTTAACTGAAGAAATAGTGAACAGAATCGAATAGAAAGTGAATTTTATTTAAATGATGACAAAACTACACACACACACACACACACACACACACACACAGACACACACACAAATGCACACACTTTTTTATTTTGAGAGAGAGAGAGAGAGGAGAGAGAGAGAGAATTTCAAGCAGGCTCCACACTGTCAGTGCAGAACCTGATGTGGGGCTTGTACTCATGAACCCCATGAGTTCATGACCTGAGCCACAATCAAGAGTCAGATGCTCAACTGGCAGCCACTCAGACACCCTGACAAAAATATTTTTTGAATAGTTTTTTCCTTCCAAAAATACCTTTCCCCCTACCCAAGGCTTCCAAACCTCACCTTTCTTATTTGTGTTAGGAAATAGTATTTTTTTGGTATCTGTATACTCACACCTAGTTGTGGGCATATGTAGATAACCAAAATGTACTCCAGCAGTTATGGGCTGTCACTCTTCTTCTTTCCTCATTACGTATTCAGAGAGTAATAATAACTACCATTTGCTGACAATGTATTACACAGGTGCTAAGGAGTTTGTCTCATCAGTAACTCTATCAGGACGGATCTCTTATCCAGATAAAGAAAGAGGCTGAGAGAGATGAATTAATTTGCCCAGGGCCACATATCTAGTAAGTGATGAAACTGGGATTCTGACCTGGCTTCCTCTTCAAAGCATGTTCCCTTAGAGTAAATGAAAATCTCATTTTAGTAAGCTGTATAAAAATTGATATTTTGGGGGAGGATTAAAACAAATGCTTAATATATGTTCCTCCCAAAATACAGATACTGAGGTAGTTTTTTAAAAGTAGAGTCTGCCCTCAACGTGGAGCTCAAACTCATGACCCCAAGATCGAGAGTTGTAAGCTCTACCAGCCAGGTGCCCCTGGTTTTTGAAAGCATAACCCACTGGCTAGGCACGGTGTGGACAGACTAAGTATAGAGAATGAGGTTTCTGTACCCAAGGAGCTCTTTAGCTACTTGAGGAAGCAGAGAGTACACTTGACAACAGAAAGAAGGCCCAGTGTTGCCTATATATGTTTCGGGTTTAGAGAGAAGGGAGTGGTCGGTATCGCTCGGACAGTTTGTGATTACTGTAATGGAAGAGTGGAAGACTTGGGAATTGTTTTCTGGTTTATTTAGTTGGGGTCTGGATAGGTGCAAGATGGGAGAATGTTTTCTGCAGTGTTACAAGGGAAGTTGGCAAAAGAGAAACGAAGAATTAATAAGCTTTTATTATAAAATAAAGCTACGGCTTCTAATTAGTTTAACCTCATTAAATTTCCTTCCCTTTAAGCAATGAAAGAGAGGGGCTGTGTATAAATGTAGTCTTTACCCCTATATACGCTAAAATTTCAAGTAAATTGCTTTGATTTTTCAGCCAGGCACAGTGTATTTTTGTTTCACTTATTTTGTGTGTATTTGTGTGTGTGTGTGCGCACGCGCTTGCACTTGTGTGAGTCCTCATTACAGTAAACGATAGATACCTCGTTTTGGTAAACGAAAATGAGTCCTAGTTCCTTCTGTTAAGAACGTTATGAATCGTTAGAATTGGAAGAGAATTGGTTCCATTAAGAGTAATTGAGCTCTAGTAAAGTTAATGCTTCTTGGCTCTTGTTAACATTTTTTCCGTCAAAGCCAACACTAGGCTCTGCAAAATGTAGAGCATTTCTTAGAACTCTTGCTAAGAAGTGGCTACTTGAACCATCACCTCAGACCTTGTTGGCTGTCCGAGGTACCGTTGTTCTTAGCTGAAGGATCACAATACAAGTGCTTTACCTACCTCTTATTCTAGAAAATCAACATAAAAAGGACGATAGTAAAATAAATGTCTTAGGGTTAGGCCACAAATTATTTTCAAATATGTCATCTACTCTCCTTGCCGGTCATTTCCATTCAACTTAAAGGTATAGTCCTGAAAAGTTGAAAGGCGCATATTGGAGCAGCTTCTTAAATTTACACATGAGAAGATTAAGCGGTTGAGTAATCAGGAGTAGATCTTTGTAGTACTGAGGAAAGGCTCACTAACCTTGGGTAACTGGGCTTGGTTTCTACATTGGTTTGGTTTCTGATTTTGTATAATTTACTTGCTTCACCTGTAAGAGGACAGCAGTGTTCCTACTTTTTGTGTCTTAAAAAAGGATGGATTTGCCAAGGGGAGAGCTGTTGATAGAAAAGGCACCTTGTTTTTTTTGCATAATTGGTTTTCTAAAAACTGAGGACTTTTTTTCTGTTTAAGATTCCTTACTGTTTTATGTGCAGAAAACTTGATCATTTTCAGGGACGTTGAGATAGTAGTGATTATTTCTGGAATAAATGGGATGTATTTAGATACGTGGCCCTTCATCTTTGTTTTAGAAAGCTGAAGCATAGACAAGTTTGTAAACCTGAGGAAGCAGATCTGGGAGGTGCTCGTGTGTGTGGAGTCCTAATGAGAATCCTGTCATGTTCCTTGGAAGTAGAATAAGGTGAGATAGGGTTAAAATACAGCTGTAGATTCTTTTTTTTTTTCAATGTTTATTTTTGAGAGACAGAGAGTGACAGAGTGTGAGTAGGGAAGGGGCAGAGCCAGAGGGAGACACAGAATTCAAAGCAGGCTCCAGGCTCTGAGCTGTCAGCACAGAGCCCGACACAGGCCTCGAACCCATGAACCGTGAGATCATGACCTGGGCCGAAGTCAGACGCCCAACCGACTGAGCTACCCAGGCGCCCCAATCTTTTTTTTTTTTCTTAAAAATGTTTTTAAATGTTTAATTTTGAAGGAGAGAGAGAGAGAGAGAGAGCGAGAGCGAGCGAGCACACAAGCTGGGGAGGGGCAGAGAGAGGGAGACAGGATCCAAAGCAGGTCTGCACTGTTAGCACAGAGCCCGATATGGGACTTGAACTCATGAGCCGTGAGATCATGACCTGATCCGAAGTCGCTTAAGTGACTGAGCCACCCAGGCACCCCTAAAATATAGCTGCAGATTCTTATTGGACATTATGTAGGAATTCTATCTGTAAGTGTAAAATAGCAAAATGGCTAGTAAAGGGAGGAATTTGGTAGTGATTTAGAGAGCTAAAGAACAGTTCACCCAAAGAAAGGTGTAACTTGGTGGGAGAGAGCACGCTCTAGACCAGAACCCTGAAGCCACAGTCCAGCCTTGGCTCAGACGTTCATCTTCTTTGGACTTTGGCTTTTTTTCATCTGTAAGACAAAGATGTTGGACTGGTTTCCCAGGACCCTTTCAAGTCTAAGATTTTGGAGTTTGCCCTTATTTCTATATCTTTAAAAAGATAGAAAAGAGGGATAGTTCTCCTTTTTCTAGGATATGCCAGAGGGCATCTAAAAGATGTCTTTTTAGAGTGACTTCCCCCTTGTGATGTAGAGGTTCTGTAACTTTTCATTGGGTTTTCTAAGTGACTCATCCACCAGTCTGCAGTTGTCTAAGGCGTTGACGTATCTGTTCC